CCCCAAAACCCCAAAACCCCAAAACCCCAAAACCCCTCTTTGATGCTAAATATTGAAAGTTCAAGCTTCTCGAAGAACTTGAAGTGTAAAGAAATATCATTTATGAGCATTTTAGCTTCTTCATTGCCAATCTTTTATACTGGGCATATGGAAGTCCCATTAACATGAATACTCCCAGGATGAGGAAGAATTTAACCATGGTGTCGTAAGAGAGTACTTCAAAGAAATCATTAAGGGCTTCAGCAAGTAGTCCAGCTGCTATTTTTCAATAAAATGAGCTTTTCTCTAAATATTAGTGGACTGAAAATCATACCTGTTTCAAAGTTCATTCAGTTGGAGAACTTTTTACACTCCTCTTTAAGTTTGGGAGGAAGAGTTTCTTTGTCACATCTGTTCAGGTGGTAATTGTGCTCTCACTCATTTGCTATCTCCATGGATAAGGATTGTTCAAGCTGGAGTTTCCTATCAACATCGTAGTAAATCGTCAGGAGAACAGTTCCAATGAGAGAAATAATTAATAGCCTGAATATGATCCGAGTCAGTAAGGCTATGTAAGCATCAATTAGGCTTGGAATCTTCTCGCAAGTAGCTCAATGAGTGTTGTAGTAGATAGGACTGCTGTCCATGGTATACATTCCTTGAGGAACCAGCTGCCCGCTATTAGTGCTGTCTCTATTTAAGGACCTATTCTCTGGAGATGGCGAGTTTGAACCATTAGAGTCATACGCATCAAACTCTCTTGAATTACTATTATTCAAGCTGTCTCTTGTATCTTGGATGCTAAGAGTTGGGAAAGAGTTAGGCTCTCTTAACAGTTTTGCTGGAGTGTTAAAATCATAGTAATCTTTGACATTATCTTTTTCAGACTCAAAATAGCTATCATAAAACTGTTTACGCTGCTCTTCATGACCTTTATTAGTGTTTCCAATGAGATCTCTAAAACCAGAAATTTGTTTGCTGCTATCTGTGTTAGTGCAAAATTTAGATGAGTTCCTTTTGAAAGGAAGCTCTTCATGAGCCATCTCTACCTCCATTTACAAAATATATTTATCTGTATTGCTAAAATTTAGGGGTTTTGGGGTTTTGGGGTTTTGGGGTTTTGGGG